GTGTGTGTGTGTGTGTGTGTGTGTGTGTGTGTGTGTGTGTGTGACCATTGATAAGCTCCTGAGGTTTTGGGTCCCGAGAAATATGACAAGTCATGTGACATGTGGTCTCTGGGCGTCATCATGTACATCCTGTGAGTACTGTGTAGTTGGGTGGAGCATATATATATGACGCACTTAGTATATGGATTCATTCAAATAAAGCCCAGATGAATGTTTTTTAAGTTTTTAAGTTTTTCTCTGCAGGCTGTGCGGCTTTCCTCCATTTTACTCCAACACTGGTCAGGCAATCTCACCAGGGATGAAGAGGAGGATCAGAATGGGCCAGTACGAGTTCCCCAATCCAGAGTGGGCAGAGGTGTCACAGGAAGGTGGGAATCTCTAAAGAAACCTATACACATAAGCCTTGCCCATGATAATACCTTAAAGTAAAAAGATGCTTGTTGTTCCTCTCTGTTTATGAAAACTTAGCTTTTCAAAAAAACGTTTTTGGAGTAAACAAATGTCTAAATTCAATTACAAGTGAACAAGTCTGTGCCAATATCACAGATCCACCAATGTTAGTCTTTTTCAAGGACACATCTTTGTTTTTATGCTGTCAGGTGAAAAAAAAACACGTCCACAGTATCTTCAACTACACTTAATTTTCCATTGTGATCAGGTCATTATTTTATACTCAGCCAGGAGTTTGTACATGCATGGGTAAAAGCCAAAATCAACAAGGCCTGCTCTCTCACCATATTCTACAAATGCTGGTCCCCAAAGTTAGAATAAAAGATTTAAATACACTACACCCTGTTCATCCACACCTTTGTTGTTTTTCAGCTGGAGGAGACGAATGATGATATTTCATCTTTCACGCAGAATTTGTTATTCAAAATTATCTGACGAGACAGAAAATGTTAAAGACGTTTGACTGACATGTGAACAGCGTTGTCCCAGTATCTGCATCATTAGTGTGATACTTGCAGTGCCACAGTCAAGAACAGGGAACATAGCGCTGCAGCGACTCTGACCTCACAGGTTTACTGGCTGACCTACAGTCAGAGACGTTTTATAATAGAAAACCTCAGTATGTGATCAGCTGCAGCCAGTTGAAGACAATATCACGTCATGTGGGGGATCACAGCAGTTTGCTTTTAACAAGTCACAGTTTATGTCTTGGTGCTGCAATGCCTTCAGTCCGTCTGTGTGTCCCTGAGTGCAGCCTGTGTAAATATAGTTAGAACATGTAAGCAGTGACTTATCAACTCCTTAAACTTCAGACGTCTTTAACAAATGATCAAGCCCTGACTCCATTTAGAGTTTTCTAAAGAGACAGCAGCCACCTGGTGTTCTCCTTTGACCTAAAGACAACAGTGCATGTACACATAGTCACATTTCTATTTTTCCACTGACTCTTCACTCTTGCCCTTTCCAATAATCCTCTTGGCTGTGTAAGTAGGCCAGTCTGTCCCTGAGACCAGGATCAGTTGGACAAGATACAGGTTTTTCATGTGTGTCTGAGCCTCGCCACCAATAATTTAATGATCTTTACTCTTCCAGCTAAAGATCTGATCCACCAGCTCCTGAAGACAGACCCTAATGAGAGAATGACCATCGCTCAGTTCATGAACCACCCCTGGATCAATGTGAGTATCTGTGTGTCCTTGTTTTCTTGTCAGTCTGTAAAACTATGTGCTCATATCTTAATTTGAACACATGTGTCTTTGCTCTCCACAGCAGTCAATGGTGGTCCCCTCCACTCCTCTGCACACCTCCCGGGTCCTCACAGAAGACAGAGAGATGTGGGAGGACGTGAAGGTCAGCAGCAGAGAAGCACTGACCCCCTCTGGTCACATGTTGACAACACAACCTTTTACGGATGAGCTAGTCTGGCCTTAATTTGGGTGTATTCCAGTAATATAGTGCTGCATGTCCATTACATTTATGGCCTCACAACAGACAAATGAAAGGTACAACGGTCAAAAGCAGCACGGGACAGATAATCCGTAATTACATTTTCAGTGTGGGACAAGCTCCAAAATTCCAGTTCAACTTGAGAGCAAATGTCCATATCTTTTAATCTCCACTCCTCTGGTTGAGAATGCTTTCAGGCTGTGGCTCAGGGGATAGAGTGGGTTGTCTTCTAACCAGAAGTTGGGCGGTTTGATTCCCGTCTTGACGGCTGTGCTGTTCTCATAGAAAGCGGCTCATAGTTGTACTGTCATGTGTGTGTGAATGGATGAATGCCTTTGAGTGGTCATCAAGACTAGAAAAGCTCTATATAATACAGACTATTTACCTATTCTGTTAAAACATATCCATTTACCCAGATGACATCACTATGACATCATGTGTCAATGTCATAAAAAATATCTCTGTGACATCACTATAATGTCATTGGAATCATATTTAACCACATCCTTACAAAGCTCCTCCACAGAAGACATATGCAACTGTCAGTAATTGAAGTCGTTCTATAAATGAGTGGTGATATTCTCACATGTAAAATTAACAAATGACCCTTTAATCATTTAAAACATCAGTGAGGGAAACAGTCTGTCAGAAACTTCTGGAGAATTGAACTCATTAAAATCTTTAAAGATTTGTGTGTATCACAACTGTGATGATTCCCTGATGGCCACCAGGGGGAAGCAATCATCTCAGATTCAGTTTAACACCCCTAACAAGAACGTGAGCTTGTGGGCCCACACGCACCACACAAACATAATCTGTCTCCTTGCCTTCAGAGAACATAACATTGACTTACATTTATTTCCTTATTCTTACTTACTTATTCTAATCTTAACTGTAGTTACTACTTGCCTTACCTTAACCCTGACCTAAACTTAAACCTAGACTTAAACCTCAATCTAAACACACATGGAGGAGCTCAGCTGGACTGTGCTGCTCTTCCCAACTCTTTTTCTAATTCAGGCATTCATTTTAAAGGCATTTGTTTGCTCACATCAAGTCACATTGAGGTTATCTCTCCACTACTGGAAAAGATGTGTGGATTGGGAAATCACACATTTTTTCAATGGCTGCAAATGTGAATATAAAAAAAAGATATGCATACACCACACCGCCATGCACTTTTGCAGCAGACACTGCTACATTGCATAAACCCTTTCTGAGATTGTACTCCTGAACAATCACATCTCAAAAAGCCAAAAAAAGCCAAGACGTGTCATTGTAAAGGTCGAGGAGTTGGAGGGTTGATATTTTCTTGGCTGTAGCGCTCAGATCCAGTTTGAAAACATGTCCTACGACGTTTCAATACATTCTTCGTGGTCTGGAGCCTGTTTTGGCTTCAGTTTGTCGGACAGTGATGACCTGAGCCTCCCCTCTTAAAACGTGCCAGACAGGTTTTCCCTGCCCTATCAGCCTTTGTTCGTGTTTCTCTGCACTACAAACGTGATCCAGCGAATTACAGTGTCAGAATCAGAATCAGAATCAGAATCAGAATCCTTTATTGTCAGTGTTTAACATTGTCACCAACATTCAACATTGAAAATTCTTTTTGCAGCTCTTCTTATTACAGCAGCGATTAACCGATTTTAGAAATCAGACAGAATCAAGAAGTAAAAAAAGTAAAAAATTCAAATGTACAGTTTTCTTTGTATTTTTTTTTTCCTTTATAAAAACACAGCTAAGAGATAAATGTGTGTGTCTATAGGAATAGTCTGACATTTTCAACACACTTTATGTTTTTGCTCTGTAACTGAGAGTCGAGAGTTTAAGAGCCACTTGTAATCATGTATATTAAAGATAAAGCCATTAGTGAGTCTCATAAAGACTGGACACAGCTCATTTGGCTCTGGCCAAAGTTAACACAGTCCACCTACCATCATGTCTTACACTCACTAAATAATATATTATATGCAATCTCATTTGATATTTTTAGATTAATGCAAAAACCAAAGTGTAAAAACAGATGTGTTTTATAGCAGAGGTCTTGCGCAGTCCACTTCTTGGCCAGGAGCAGTAAAATCCTGAAGGTTACCAGATAAAATAATGCATAACTTATAACAAATTATTGAGCTTCAGAAATGCTGACAGGAGAATACAAAGCCAGACTGTTTCTGGTCTTTCTGGTAAGATAAGTCAGTCAGATGCTGGCTGTAGCTTCCAATTACCCATCTATACAAGAGAGACTCATCTAATTCCTGTTATAAAAGCAAATTAGCACATTTCCCAAACTGTGTACACACTAAACATGCAGACACATCTCATGGATGTAGGAGGTAAAATCAGCAATGTTAATAATAATTTAGCAACTCAAACATTTGACATTTAAAACTAGAACAGACATTCAGTAGAGCACATACCTCTGCCAGGGCCCAACAGTCCTGTTCAATTAAATCAAGCTGCACCTAATCTCCCAATGTTAAAGAAAGTGATAAAAAAAAAAACCTGGATCCTTCCCCTGATCTGTAGCCACACCAAATTGAATGCATTCTTTCCTGACCCATACCACATCCTTACACCGAGTTAGTTTTGGGGTAATCTTGCTAACCAACAAACTAACTAACAAATGGAAGGTGAAAAGATAACCCCCCTGATGGAAGTGAAGATTGGATCAGACTTCACAAAGAGTTTATAACAGATGTGCTCTGAGTATCCTGACGTTTATAGTATTATCATTAGTCTGTGAACTAACACGCTGCCCTCTGCCTTGTCTTACAGGAAGAGATGACCAGTGCTCTAGCGACCATGCGTGTGGACTACGACCAGGTGAAGATCAAGGATCTCGATACATCGAGCAACCCCCTGCTCAACAAGAGGCGTAAGAAGGCTGCGGCAGGGGCCAAGGGCGGGTCCACTGTCTGCCAAAGTCAGTGAGACAGAGACGACCATTGATGGGAAATCCAGAAGAAAAGCTGGTCAGAAGTTGTTGATTTAAGCAGGAGAGGATATTTCAGAGAGCTGCTCGGGACTCTACAGAGAACTGGACGTGGAGGGGGGTGTTCTTTGAGATAAAGGGATGACAGGAACAACAGCAAAGTCAAAACTGAACATTAATAGAACATATCAAGATGTGATATCGACTGTCACCTCTGCTCACTGCAGGCCCGTCTGTTTTTAATTATCTTATGTATGTAATTTTTTAGATCCTGGCTGCAGACTCCATGTATTTGTAGGGATAATATTTTGAGTACTTGAATACCGGATTGCCTGACACATGGACTATATATAAAGATGAATGACATGACAGCTCCCCAAGCCAAAGCCACACAATCTTTACCTGATGGCTGGGTGCAGTATGAGCTCCATGTTAGTGGATGGGACATGGACCAAACTACAAAGAGAAAGTACACATCAGATAAATTTGTCTCAAAGATGATGTCTGTTATTTTAGGCCGTTCTTATCACACTGATGTTTGTTCAACCTTTCATTTTTCCGGTAAGCTTGATTTGAATTAGTCATTTGATGCTGTAAAAACCGGGTGAACTGTCATGATTGACAGCTGAGACTGAATCACGATTGTTCGAGCATGTGTATCAGTGGGACCTCGCTACTCTGGCTCTGTCCTCTGGTCACTGCTTCACAGACTGTGGCTCCAGATGTGCAGGATATTTTGGCATCATTTCTGGATAGTGCGAGGAAGTGGGCCAGGTTGTCCATCTTTATATATATTCTGAGGTTTGAGGTCTCCTTTGTAGCCATGCACCATTGTGCAGATCACACACACATACGCACACGCACACACACACACACACACACACACACACACACACACACACACACACACACACAGACAGACAGACAGACAGACAGACAGACAGAAACCCTGGACAGACTGTTGAACCAGAACACTCAATACCGCGTGTGTTTGTCTTAACATTGTCAGTCATTTGCAGTTTCTTTTCAGGGATTAAAAAGTCTGACAGATTGTATTGTTAATAAAATGCAGCCTTCATTGTGACCTACATATCAACCTGAGCGAGTGTGTTTCATTGAATCAGCAGTAACACACACACACACACACACACAGATCAACAATATGTCCTTTAAATGAGACTACGGGAGGCAACCTGTGTGCTTCCTGTCAGCGTGAGGCCACAGAGCTTTATGTAAGCAGCAGTGGAGAAATATTGGTCAGTTGTGAGACATGGACGACTTGTGACACTCCTCTTGAGAAAGGCATGTGTGTGTTTATGGAGGTTGAGTAAAACACTTCCAGTGAATAGTGGCCACACTTTTACCACAGGCTGGGTGAGGAAATAACTAAATATTGCAGTATGATTAAATCAATGGGAATACAATGAACGTTCTATATGAACTATTGCTTGTTTGTGCAGTCAATTTAAAAATAAAGAGAAATAACAATGTGACATTAATTGTGATAATTATCGACTGGTTTTAATTTTTATCTTGATAACATATTTGTTCGTATCGTCCAGCCCTAGTTTCACCACAAATAATTGTTAGCAAAGACAGACTCCTTCAGACCTCAGCAGTGGTGGGGCAGCTGTGGCTCAGCATACAGCAGGTTACCCACTGACCAGAGGTGGTTTGATCCCAGCCCCACGTTCCACATGCCGAAGTGTCCTTCTGCAAGACTCTGAACCCTAAATTGCCCCTGACAGCTGTGCCAGCAGTGTGTGGGTGATATGTGAATGGGTGAATAGCAAAACTTTACAGTAAAAATCTTTGAGTGGTCATCAAGACTAGAAAAAATATCATTTACTGTATTCGTCCACATGCTTGTGAATTAAACTTTGGAAAACAAAACAAGTGTGCCATTTTTTTGTGCTCTGGACCTTTGAGGTATTGTTTTGCCTCTGAGGCGTTGTGAAGCTGCTATAAATAGCAGCAGTGGAGCAGTTATTTGGGATCCAGCCATCTGACTTTGTGTCCGACTGGAAAAGGTCAACATTATCGACCTATGTTTAGATGACACGTCAACTACCTTTCCCCTACTTCAATCACATGGTCCCCCTGCAGCATGTAGGGGAAGATAATCATAAAAACACTTGTCTTCCCTGCTGTAAATAAGGTCAGCCATGATGAGACGTCCCAAACAGAGCGTGACCTGGCAGCTGTTGTGTGACTCTCTGTGTCTCACAAGAAACAAAACAGCATAAAAGTTTTCAGTATGAGACAAACAAAAAGAAATCATCAGGGACTGTTTGTGCGTGGAATTTTACAGCATGTTGCATGTGAAAAGTTTCCTGTCGAGGTAGCAGTGGGGAATAATTTACTAGTTAGTCAGCCATTTTGTGGAGACAAGCCCAGGCATGATGACACCATCATGTATTGTGTATCTGTACAACTAATGTGATGTTGACATAACAGTGTCTCATGTGCTTCCTACTTGTGTTATTCCACTAAAGTCACTGATCCTCTCCCTGCAGAGGTCATGTGGTGGTGGTGAAGGAAATGCTGGAAAATAACAACTCTTATTAGGTCAGGGGTCAACACTGAAGTTCAGTAAGGGGTCCGGTTTTCTCAGCCTTCAGCTTCATCAGGGACAGATTGGGTAATTCAAACTCTCTGATGTTTGAATTCGTCTGTGAAGCTTCAGTGCAAATCCCACTCATAGATAAACTATAACACAAGTCTTTGTCTGGTTTATTAAGTCTGCTGCTGTTGTAACAGGCTCCAGCATCTTCTGACAACAGACATCATATCTCTCAAATGAATCAGTTCTTAGGTGAAGTGTTCTCTATATTGGGTTTAAAACTCATATCTTAAAGTTTAAATGTTGCCTTGAAAAAGAAAATAATACATTTTCAGGAGTTAAAATAAAATTGTTGGAAGAACTGAGTCCAGTTGTGTGCTGCTCAGGTCTGTTTCAAATGTGCTATGAATAGGCTACGTGATAAAGCACACCGAGACAGGTCTGACTAGTGTGACAATTGAGTGCGCAGCTTGCAGCCCGAGGGTTGGGTGTGAGTCAAACAAGTGTGGGGGGGTCGATCACTATATCCTTTTTGCAGGAATGAGATGAACGTCGTCCGAAGAGCCATCTGACCTCAAATGTTTTTTCTGTCTCTATACTCCTGAACTCCATTTGCTCTCTCTCTCTGCGTTTTTCACGTCCCTCATTGTTTGTGGACCTCAGCAGTTTACTGGTGTCGTTCTTTCTTTACTGTTTTTGAGTTTACTGTGTCATTAATCCACACACGCAGTCACACGCCTTGTGCTTGGCAATTAGTGTCATTATATCACAGGCTTTGTTGTACTCATGTTGTATGTTTGGGTTAAGTTAGTAGCATCTATGGTTAAGGTTAGAGTCTCCAGGAAATCAATGTAATGTCCTCTAAAGTCATTGAGACACAACTGTGTGTGTGTGTGTGT